TTCCTTTCTTTCTTTCCTCCTGCTCCCTCGTTCACCTGTGCGAGCAAACAAGTGGAAAACAGGAGGGGGAGAAGAAGAAAGAAAAAGCCATGCACGAGGGGAGAGAAGGGGAAAGAAGACAGAAATTGGAGGTTTGTTGGGGTGAGAAACAGCGTGGTTTATGACCTGGGGGGGAAGGGGGAAGGATTTTGCCGCCGTGCCGGACAATGAGAAGGGGTGGCCCAGAGGCAAAGGCAGAGGTTCCTCTGCCACTGCGACACTGCCTCCAGGCTTCTCAGTTCTCCTAGCTTTTTATTATCCTCCAGGGACGAGACCAGAGTTGCTAATGAACTGGTGGAACCGGTTCGAGAAGGGACAAACAGGTCCTTCTCGTCGGGAGGGACCTTCTCGGCATAGTCCGGATACTCGGTTACATTCTTCGCATCCCTCTCCGTCCTTTCCCCAGCCAACCAGTCATGCGTTGGTCCAGCCCGGGCACACGGTCCACAGGACAGGCAGAAACGACATACAACAGAAAAGGAAAAGAATTGACCACATAGAATGACGTTAGACGGACCACATTTGAGACGATAACAAGACTCCTCGTAACACGGGAAGCTGCAGGTTTTATATATACATAGAGAGAGAGAGAGAAAGAGAGCATCTTCTCTATTTTTCCTAAAATGTTGCACGTGCGAATCGAGACCATGATCTAAGGGAAGAAGTATGAGAGGGGAAAGCCATGTTGCGAAAATTGAAGAACCATGTCGCCCGAGTGTAGTAGAGTAGTAGAGTACAGGTAGGCCGATAGGAGGAGAAAAGGAGGCCCGAGGGGATGACGTCAAGGGGAGAACAAAGGCTCATCCGTTCGTTTCCAGCTGGTCTCTCTCTCTCTCTCCCTGCTCTCCATTTTTCAATCCCCCCTCCGAGATGGAATCATTACCAGCCTCACTTGTTCGCACCTTGCGGAGTCATTCTCTTCGCCGACCGGAGACACAAGGACACGTGTCTCAGTCGACCAGGGTCGTCGGTGGTCCTATCCACGTATCAATACGAGAACCTCTCTAGGACTGTCGAAGGGATCCGTTGACTGTTTATCTGCTCTATATAGGAAAGTATAGGAAGGGACAAAGTTCGTGTTTCTTGGACTGCCATGCAGAATGGCCATTATCATGGAATCGAACGTGCCTCTCTTCGTTTCCGCTGCATCATCCACGTGTTGAGGAACTCGAACCAACCCGGCCAGGATCCGCATGTGAAATTCAATTCCATGCATGGCACCGTGACAAGAAAAAAGAGGGTGCACTTTACATGTAGCGACGGAAATGCAATTCAAAGGCTTCGCGTGCTTCCACGTCGGACCTCGGACCCGAAAACTGATTCAAATAACTGACCTCGCACTCCCTGGTGCATCCATTAAGAGCATGAAAGGTTAAGCTAGCATCATCAACACCTTGCAATACTCCTAAACTGCCACATACGTGCCGGATTGGCGGTTCATCTATACCGATGAACGCCTGGATGAATGGAAAGAGAGAACAGTAGCTACTAGTCCGCTTCTTGGGAATCTTTTTTTTTTTCTTTTTGCTGCCTCCAGACATGTCCGCCGTTGGCCACTTCACCGGCAACCCACCCACCCCCAAAAAACCGAATGAAAACGAATCCTGTCGTCGTCACCGTCACCATCGTTAGCCATTTTTCGTCGATTGCTGGACGAAAGACCGCTCATGTATGCACAATTTCATCCAATCCATTCTCATTCAATAGCTTTCTCCTCGGACGAATTTCCTTATTATGCCATTCAGTGACTAATTTTGTTCATCGATCACTGCCCATTTGCGCTAGGTGCTCAGTCCAGGTTTACTTGTTCTTAATGCATCTGCGCGGATGGTTTCCTGGACTTGTATCTATTTCTGATCCAATAAATCGTTTGCATCTTCTGGATCTCTTCAGGTTCGCCTGCGTGGCCTTCAGCTTCCCTGCGTCAATGACCAAATCTCCGATCCATACGTCATGGCAGGTAATATAAACTGATTAAAGACCTGCCTCTGTATACAAATCAGGATATTACTCTTCATGACGGTGTTCATATTCCCTAAGGCACTCCACAGAGCCAATTCCTTTGATTTCATCGCTGAAGTCAACGTTCACTTTAAGAAATTGTCCAAGGTACGAGTACACTTCCGTTTCTTCAAGTTCTATGCCTCCCACACTGACATTATTCTGAGGCGAAGTACTTGCACAAGGAAGGAAATTCCATATTCCATCATTGAGGGTAAACTCGTACTTCTCGAGGAAGGCTACTAATGACATCCAGATTGATTATATCAATGGTTACGGTACTCATAATTCCCGATTGGCTCCTTTCGTTAAAATGCTATGAAAAATGAGCCGACTCGACAGATCGAGCCCCCGAAACCTCAAGGTCGCTGAGTGATCATGAGCACCCTTCGAATTTAGGAAATTTTCCTTTATATGGGGGCATTGGGGAGTGAACGGGAAGTTAATCAATGACAAGAACAGCGTTAGTTCAATGGCCGTATAACAGGGCGTCATCCATAGTCCATACTTGAAAATTCTCTCGCCTATCCATTTGCGTATGGAAGAATCTTCAAAGAGAAATAAGATTTATGGATTTTGTAAGATACGGACTTATGAACCTAGCGATCTATATCGTTTCACGAAGCTTGCCATTGGAGAACCTTGAAGGCGCTTCACTAAGTACCTACACAGTTTTCGATTAAATTCCCAACACCCGTACTGTCACATTTCAACTGTTCCGGGCAAGGAACACAATCCAAAATGTTCGCTTGTCGGGAATTCATGACTCTCATCTCTCTCAGCATGCGCGTCGCACTTCACACAATTCAAAATTGGCATTGACTCGCCATTAGGGCGGAACCCAACCATGCACTTCCGCTTTGGCCCTTGAATGTTTTCCTTTGTATTTCTCACTTTGTTTTAATTTAAATACTTTTCTGTCTATAAGATGTCTCGCTCCTCGCGAAAACCCGTACGAGACGGAGGCTTCAAACCAATCCAAATTTTTTTTTTCCCAATTCCCCGGGACCCACTCCTGAATTTCTTTCATAAATGGGAACAATGTATCCGGTACAAGTCGGAAGGAGAAGAGAAGCGAAAGGAGATCTTTGGTTGCGGAACCACAGACCTCGACGAATGACAGAGACAAACGGCCAGCATTTCACCGATGAAATCATGAAGGTATTCCTGGAAATGGTTGCATTGCAAGCGAACGTGTTTCAACGTTCCTCGATGGAACCGATACACACTGGTAATCTCTCAACCTCTTCGTGCGATCTGAACCCCCTCTTTTTTTTATTGCCGTCGTTTTCCTCCCTTCCCCTTTCACGTTACACCTCATGCGAGGGCATAAACATGGGCTTAAGGGACCACACTCTATTTTTCACGAAGGGCTCCTGTGTCGTCTCTCTCTCTCTCTCTCTCTCCCTCCTTGAGACGTCGTTGACATTGTGACCTTCGAGGGAAAACCCCAAGCCCGGGTGCTATTTCCGGCTAAACGTCACCGCTCAGTGCCGCATAAAGGAAATGAGACGGGAAACATATTTTCAGTCACGATTTCTTAACACAGCTTCTTCTGTGCATATCAGTAAGGGATTTCATCACGCTGCGAATTACGACGATCGGGAATAATTCGCTCCGTTCTTCATTATTTACAAAAAGGTTTTTTCACAGATCAGACCCCCAGCACGATTTAGATCATAAAAGAGATGGAGAAGGTGGAAATAGGAGAATCTGATGGAGAAGAAAAAACATGGCAAATCCCCTCTGTCTTCTCGTAATTTCTCCCTCACATCATTTTGAGAAAGCCAATTCCCATTTGGAAAAAAAAAAGAAGAAAAACCAAGGAAAGTAAGAAGTTCCCGTTCATCCCCTACTGTGCTGCATGCATTCACATGGAGAACATTACTCTCAAGAGACTTCAAAATCCGAGGATCGAATCACTCTGAATTTCGAGTTCTAGATATAAAATGCACTGACCTATCCGGAAAATAGGGCCGCTTTCGGCCAAGTTTCTGCGTTAGTCATCCGAAAATATTATAGGTGTACGATTATTATAAATTCCAAACAGTCGTCTCACCGCAAACACGTCCCCCCGAAAATACTCATTCACCTTTAACGATTCATATATTGTCACGGTGAATATGCGACTCTATAACGAGCAACATTCAATCCCTTTCCCTGTCGATGAAATGAATCGAACACTTCTACCCAAGAATGAATAGGCCTAATTGGCATTTTCGACTCATGCAACTGCTAACGGATTACATAGGCTTACAGTTCCCATTACATCCACACCTTAGGCGGATAATTTCCGATTTACAATTCCTCTCACGGATGGGGGTCCTCCCCGGTCATTCTATAAACATTGCCAGGCAATTAGGCCTGCACGAGATCATAGGGTTCATCAACGGAATGGATTGAAAAAGCCGCATTCAGACTTGCCTCACAGAGGAAACAAGATTACGAGGATTGGAGAAAAACAGACGATACACAAGGATGACCGGATTTTCGACTTACTGGTTTCATTTCTTTGGTTTAGCCTAAGCCCACATAAGCCACAGGCCACGAGCTCAGCACCGCATAAACTCACTCGGATAACGACGGTAATACCCTTGCAATACACACCGGAGCCTACTAGCACAGACGAAGCCGAAGAAGTCGCATTGCGAGCCGGCGGCGTGCAACGGACGAATTCAAACTAACGTTAAAAATGGGAGAGAGAGAAGATAGGCTAGTCACAGGGTACATTGACCATGACTCACATTGGGGAAGGGGGATCGATATCCCAGGGGGCTAGAAAAGGGGGAACCCTGTGTCTCTTTCACAACACGGGAACAGCCGGATGTTTTCACAGGGAAGCACGCCAAATATGCGAGTGCGAGACGGCACGGGTATCTCTTCATCCATTCACAAACTCTCAATGTCCCATCGTACGGTACAGGTAGATATCCCCGCCAGTATGAGATCCAGCCACTTACCGAGATTCAAGACTCCGGCGCGGCGGACGCGGATATTCGGGCAGGAGCGGGAATTTTCACTTGCAAATATAAAGTTCTCGTCGCCTGGTATGCCAAGTATGGCACAAAGAATCTGGACAACGCACGGTTCGGGAGCGCACGGCCTCTGCGCAGCGGGCGGGGCCTTTCGTATAGGAGAATATGAACTCTCATCAGCAGCCCTCCTCCCTATCTCACCCCCCCTTTTCCCCAAAACATACGAATGCCATATGCAACATTTTCTGCAGCACACATTCAATGACTTATCCTCTCGTCTATGGCCCATTTCGGAAAATATGTAACAGGAGAATGCGAGGCGAAGCGGCGTTCACTTACGTCACCGGGAAATGTTCTCCTCGGGAGTCTACTATCTGAGGGAGCTGTACGTTGAAACCCGCCCGAGATACAGGTGCATGCATGGCCCGAGGCATCAAGTAAGAACACTTGGGAGCAGGTTTTATCGGGTATGAATCACGAGAGGGGGGAAATGTTATTCACGTCAGTCCTTATCTCCACGGCCTGCCCCGGTGGAGATCCCTGACAGGCTGAGTGACTTGTGCGAGATGCATCACGTTTACTAGTCTCGTTCCGTGCTCCTGACCGATATCGCTTCTGTACTTACGAGCCACGCACCTCACTCCACAGCACATAATATCTGCCTCCCACTGTAATCATCACTTAAAATATGGGCTCGTGCTACTTGGCAGTCTCTGTACGACTCCTCTGAATGATCGAGGCTAATAATGAGAGTCCTGTCGAGCTCGCTTTGATGTTATCCGGAAAAAAAAAGACGGACAGCATGCACATTGCTGGAAACCATGCAAATCGATGAAATTTAAGAAAAAGCGGAGAACACACAAGATTCAGACAAAACGCTGCAGGCTGCATTCTGCCGCGCCTTTGTTCTGTCATCTAGATCATCCAGGAAATACTAAGAAGTTAAGGATATATCTACCAGATGTCGCGTCACGTCACTGGTCACGGGGGGGGGAAATTTTCGTATGGTGTTAAAACACTAAGAGGATTTGGAATCTTAACACGAAGCGCCTTCTTTGAGATGGAAGATTCTTGTAGTGGAAACTGGTTTAATATTTCAGATATTTTGATCGTTTTGGCTGTTAGAAAGGCTTAGGCCCTATAGAAAGGTTGACTGTACTGTTCCGTAACGGTGTCTTGTAATGATTTGTTATTCACACTGAACGAAGGGATGAGAGACAAATCGGTGGCAAGAACATTGATGGAAGAGGATGAATAAGAGGGTGACTGGGATGGAACAGGCGTATCCCGAAAGCAGAGTTGCTGACCCTGGGCAGAAGATGAAGGACCACGAGGAGCCGCGGACATACTCCTCAATTCTCCACTTTTATCCACTCTCCCTCTCTACCGTTCCATATCATTACTCCTTCAACATGATTCTCGGCTATGTGCTATTCCTCGTGTGTCTGCAGGTTTCTCCTCTTCATTCCATGCTCGAACAGAATCTCGGTGAGTCCCTTTGCCCGACGACTTGGCCTTCATTTATTATGTACAATTCATGACATGACGTGGAATACGTCTCTCGGCTCATGGGTGATGAATAGTTGATGAAATGTGCACGATCGCATGACGGGGAATGTCCGCACTCCCTTTTATCTCAGTATGCATACTGGATAGGAAAGGGAGCGGTTGAACATAGTCTCGTTACACTTTGCACAAAGGGCGGACAGGGCTCGAACGTAATACGTAGCAGGGACTAGGCTCATTCCCGTGTTTCCCTATAATGCTACCTTCTGGTCTATCTTATGAATTGGTTAGGTCCTGTTTCTCCCAATACGCATGCGAGACGAACCAAGACGATGAGACATCGAAACGTTGCCACCGATCAGTCGCTAATGAGGCTAAAAATTGAAAGGAATTCTGTATTCCTCGAGGCGAGTTGGAGCACAATGGAACGTCGAGATGCGATTCATCCTTTCATCCTTTGCATCATCTTTTCGAAAAACCCTTTGTCGTCTCGGCACAAAAGCTTTTTTTTTTCACTCACAGTACCGCCGTAATTCTGCGTGTATTTCAAGGTCCCGACAATCCCGTTCACACAATGCCAGGGTGTCGTCATGTCACGTCTTCCCTCTATCATTAGGATGGAATTTTTATTTTTGCAGTTTTTGGAGGGTTTGCAACACCGTCTCTGGCAAATGTAACCATCTGCTACTATCGATACGAGAAGGAAGATTCCTACATCTATTCCCCGGGGTATCCAGCACCTTATCCAGATCTGGCTGACTGTACTTACGAACTGATGAGGCCTTCGAAGAAATTCTGCGGTGTGAAGCTCTTCGGTAAGTTCACATTCTCTCCTTTTGAGTCACAGGACCGTGATTTTTTTCCGGAGCCTGAAGCATACCGACGATCATGCAATGAAAGTTACGGAAGTGATCCATACGAAATTTCTTGTCACGTCAGCTGGGCCGAATGATTATCCGTCAACGAATAATTAACATTTCAGGAAGGGGAAATTATCGCAAAGTAAAACAGTGATTATGATGTCTGGGAAATGTTTTGTATCTGGGATGATCGGTCTCATTCACAACATAGCGTGCAAGCGCGGCTGTCAGATGGTTACTGTCAAACAAGACATTATTTCATCAACTATGCATGATTGCAGTTTCATCTGGATTGTTCCTTATGGGGGTATACCTGTATATAAAAAAAAAAGAAACTCTGGAACGGCCCTGCCCACCTGTTGGCCTCCAGACTAATAGCTTGGATCATGCACAAATATCCCCGATCGGAAATACACAGGACATGTTTTGATCCTAGATGCCAACCCGTGGAGCATGACATGGTATCTCTTATCAAGGCAAAAAAAGAGCGTCATACCCATGGCAGACCCGAGTTCCATATAAGGAAGGTGCGTGGGAAGGAGAGATCCCACTCGTTCGTGTCGCTTCCTATCCTCTCATCTTTTCCGTCATCCGTGGTAAAACCGGAGACTCCTCGGTCAAAACCTGAGCCGCATTCTGGCGGAAAACCAAGTCTGTTTGCCCTTGGGTGGTGCCGTTAAGTCTGATCGGCGACTTATGTAACCAGTTCGCTGGTTGGAATACGATAGTAGCCATCTGGATGCAGGGATCGGCTTCATATAGAAGCAGTGGGGTAGTCAGGATTTCGACTAAGGGGAAGAGGAGCTAGAATTTTCCTAACTTCTCCTGGGGGAAGGGGGTACCGGGTGTATGTAGATCTATCAGAGTTGGGGAGCTAGAACCAAACTTGGGGGGCTTCAGTCCCCCCCCCCTCCCCATGCCACTGCATAAAAGGCGGCTTTTCTTTGCTGGCAGACGATGGAAGATCAGAAACTTTACGTCGCAGAAAGTCAGATTTTCGATTTTAAAAGGATCAAGGTTATACTTTCCTAGGGCGACTGTAGGATGTGTTGATGTTCTGTATTAATGGCATGTATCTATGAATAGCTGCGGAGGCTTATGCCTACCTAGACATGTTGCTAGCTAGCTATTTAGAACCCATTGGCGGAAGCTCTTATGGTTGCTAAAAAGACGTATCAATCTTACAGACCTAAAAATCAAGTGGCTCGGCTCTGAGCCATGCTGTGTACATGCTTAGCGAGTGCGAAAACATGTTGGAAGGTTTGTTTGTTGAAGGACTTTGTTGGATGAAATTCCTTGAAATCTAGTCTCTCAGGTTAACTGAGATAAGCTCATAACAAAGCTAAGTCCTACTCCATTCCCTCTTCATTAGTCAGCTTCATCTTCCTAACATCTCAATACTTACTCTTGAGGAGTCGTGCTTAGAGTATGTACCGGTACTGGAGTCTTTTGGACCATTTCCTTATTCCTCGAAGTGGTAAAAGGTTTGCTGATTCCTGGAAAAGGAAGATTGCAGTTTCGCAAAAGGTTAAGTTACGTGACTGACTTTCTTGCAGCCCTTCCCATTCACAATCCCTTTTAAGAAATAAAAAAAAGAGGTCCTGATACATGAGTACCTTCAATTTGGGCTGGAAGTAAGGTGAAAATTTGAAGCCCCCGTGGCTATCATGGTTGTTTTTTTTTCTATAAGAAAGAAAAATTGCATCAGTCGACGTTTCTATGTCCCTCGAAGTCGTGATCAAATCCCACGTCTATTAGGAAGGCAATAAATCAAAACAAACAGGTTTTCTGAAAGAGATTTATAAAGGTGGTACTGACTCGGTGTAGCAACGGAGTTCCGTGGGCGGCATTTCACGTCCTCAAGGTCCTTACTCACGGATAAAAAAAATCCCAATGCGGAAGCGATTTCGCTTTTTTTTCCCTTTTTGTGACTTATCCGGTTTTCATGGAAAAACCTGTATGTTTCAAGCATTTGATGTGAAACAATGAGCCCGTGTCGTTGATGATGGTTGTGATGAATGGACACAGTGGAGGAACTGGATGTGGAAGTGGGGCCGAGGGATGTGTCATGCGATCGAGATTGGCTGGAAGTCCTTTCCTGCGTCCCTTCTGCTTCCGCCCGCCTCTGCGGTCAAGAACGTGGCACTTCCTGTACACCTCTCCTTTCTTCTTACTTTCCTAAACAAGGGTTTCTTGATCTCACGACTTATTTTTGCTTGCCCCACCCTCTTTCGTAGATCAGTACTTGTTCCAAGAGGGGGCAGTTTCGATCCGACTTCGATTCGTGAGCGACGACACCGGTAGACGTCGGGGATTCCGAATCCGATACGAAATGCTTCAGGTTCTCAAAACGTTCATCGTGCACATGGGGCTGTGTGTTTCTTCCCCTTGATTTTTTCTGTATCATTTGATTAGATATGCTCGGGACCGTTTCTGACGGCAAGACCCACCCCGATTCCAGGGGTGTCTCAAGACTTCCTATGTGAGACGAGGATAAAAGATTTCCGAGGCACGATCTTCACACCCGGCTACCCCAAATCTTATCCTCCAAACATGGAATGCATCTACGAGTTTCAGAGGTGCGATTCATCTTGAAAGTAGTTTGAAACGTAGAAGATGACATCGATGGTGGTATTGTGGTGATGGTGATGGCAATTGTTTGCGGACAGGGCGGATCCGTTCGTGTGCGGCGTGGAGATGAAAACGGTAAAGTTCGACGTGGAGAAACCTCTTCGAATCCCAGGAGGTCTGGGTGCCTGCGCGGATTTTTTCCACATGCCCAGCTGTGCTTTCATGTGTGGCGCCATGAACTTCACCTGTGAGTCATCCATCCCATTACTCCACAGATGAGATCAAGAGACATAGTACGATATTAAATTTGAATCCTCCTGTTGCCTAATTGAATGGGATAGAAGGCAGCCCAGACTTTTGCTTTAAAACTTATCCGGGCAACGGGAGTCCATTGGACTCCCCATGGTATATCTCATTGCATTATTCTCTGGGAAAATTGCCAAAATTTTCTGCAAATTTAACGTGTCTTTTATAGACAGTTATCCATAGATCCAAAAACGAGTTCATAAAGTTTTGATTTACCTTTAAGGAAAAAAAATTCTTAAAATGTTTACGCTTGCCCGCTTTTGTCACAAAATACCTTGCCTGGATAAGGGTTACGTCCAACACCTGCTCGATTCTCAGCCGTTTTCCTGACATACCCTCAATGAGGTCTTTGGCTGAAGCAGGCGGAGGAGCATCTTCGGATGTTTCCGATCCATGGCTACGGACTCAAGCTCGGCAGATGGAATGCCGAGCCTCGAGTGACAAAGCCGAGCAACATACACTAGCGTCCAAGAGAAACGATACAATGTAATTTAGGACTCGGTTGTGTAGTAGGAGTTATGATGGTATCTTATGTTTTTTACTGAACAACGCAACATTGCCTGAACATCTATAGCTTGTACTCATCAACCTTTGAGCGCAGCGCACGTCGGAGCGTCGGAGCGGTTAAAATGCTTCAAGAGGATTAACACAACAGGTTTTACACCCTCTTGGACCCTTTTGGAACAAATTAGCAGAATAATTGACCTTGAGAGATGTAGCGATTCTCAAGAACAAGTGTTCTGTAAGTTTTGATGAAGCGCTGATTCAATCCGGTATAGGCAACTGGAGCACATCGGAATCGCCGCGCTACTCCTGTTGTGTTACACCCTCTTAAAGTATTTTAATCGCCCGGTCCCTCTGTTGCTGCGTTAGCCTAGAGATATCTCTGATGTTTTCGGAGACGGCATGACATGCACAGTGGAATCAACCCATTTCTTAACCAATGGAAATCTGGACTTTACATATGGCATGGAGAAAACCTAAATAGGTATATTCCTGACGTGACACGTGCACAACGCTCAGAGGTTGGCGAGTACACACTAATAATGTTCAGGCGATGTTGACCTGTTCAGCAAAAGACAGATGAAATGCCATCACAACTCATACCACGCGACCGAGCCCTATATTACCTTTTAACTTTCTTTTGGACGCAAGTGTAGTAATTTCACTTAGTACAAGACCTACCGACTGATCCTTTGCCGAAAGTTTTAGAATGAGAAATTCTATTCTGGAGTATTCCAGAGACAAGTGTCCAAACCAATGGGCCTGAGATTTCCCAAAGAAGTTGCCGCAGTTACTCGACTTGGAGGTTCTCAAGAATGGAGGTACTCCCCTTCCTTTTACTTGGCGTAGCATTCCACTGCCATAACGTGGATCACCCACAGCAAGAACTTCATTGATACAGCTGCATCCGTTACCCGGTTCTTTCGGTTATTACCCACAGTTCATGGTCATAGGTAATTGTGGAGAGGTTAACGCTCGTGAAATCGGAAGTTTCGCCTCCTTGGAAATTTCGATCAGTTCCTGTAGCAAAATATCTCTTGGTTATTCTGGATGGAAAATTTCAATGGAATTGGTAACCCGGTAACATAGCCCGAGTATTTTTTTTTTTGCGCTATGCAAAACGAACATGTGTATCTGACTAGCGCCTACCTGCTGACTGTTCAAGGCTAGGTCGAGTCAGATCCTGCGCAGAGGAAGCAGCAAGGTCAAGCATGTTGACATTCGCTCAATTGTCATATCGGAAAAAAAGCTCTTGAATACTTAACGACCCATTGATAGCCTATTCAGCCGTGACGACGATTGCTTTAACTCTTGAACCTGACTTGGCCAAAGGGGGGGGGGGGGGGAGGGAATCGTTTTGACCCAAAACTCATATTTATGTTGCTCTCGTCTACTAAATGTGGAAATTTCTGGAAAACAAATTATAATTGTTATTCGGAATATATTTGAAAATATCCTTCCAGGATATTGACATTTTGAAAAGATATCCATTGTTTTGTGGGTCAAAACCCCCCCCCCCCCCCCCTTTCGCCCAAGGGTGCAACAAAAATTACCTTGGTCAAGTAGAGATTAAAGCAAGTCCCACCGACTTCAATAGTTCACCTCAATTCAATACCCATTCACTTGCTTGCAACTGTGGAGATAGAGATTTGAGAAGCTGATCGAAAAGGGGTTGGGGGCGTTTTGCAGAAAGTCGTTTCGCAGGTGAGACTGTATCGCCGAACGACTGTTTCCTAGAAATGGTAACGCTTCGCAGAATAGAAACAAGCATCCTCGGTGCCTGTTTCGAGAAGAAAAGCTTAGCACTATGAATACCTTTTTATTTATTAGACCTTTGCCAAAATTCCTTTTAAAAGTCAAAATGAAGTGCATTGCCCGTCTGGTCCAGGTCTGCATCCGTTTCAGTAATGGCAGCAGCGGGTTTTGAGCTTCTCTTAGTGGCTTCCTTCAGTTCGCTTCCGATAGTTCACTATTTCTCCTTTGTCGGGAGCACGATCGTGAAATTCAGATGGCCGTTTTACGAAATCCATTCTATCCCTAGTAGCGATCACAGAGCACCCTCATGAATGCAACGCCACTGTACCCTTCCGTTCCTTCTTGTTTGTATTGAATATATAGCCTCCCACCTTTAACTGATGCTGGCCACTTTCCAAGTCGCTAATTCCATTGAGGAAATCATAAAATAAATGGCACCGTCGCTGTGCAAGCTTCTGCAAGTAATGTCTAGAAGCCGTCAGGGCTGAAAGACCTTCAGCTCGGCCGGTGTTAACAGGTCTTTTCTAGCAAATAACTTTCTAAGAAACGACTCTCCTGACCAAAACCGGTTATTCGGCGAAGCGACTGTCCGGAACGGAACTTTCGGCGAATCGATTTTCTACGAAACAGTCCTGTTTTGAAGAGATTCCGTAAGGCTTGATCAAACGACACTACTGTGTAAAACCATGTCAAATAATAATAATAATAATCGAGTACATGCATGATGAACTGCAGAATGGTTGACTGTTCACATCACTGAACTCAGTGGATGCTGAGGGAAGCCTTTACGTTCAGGTCAAATAAGTAACATGCAACTCATGCAATTGGATGTCCCAAGCATAGTTCATCGCATTCTTGTAGACAAGGTTTTAAATGACGATGTTTTTTGGCTCAACCTTGTGGAATTGCGGTATAAACGAGTGCGAATGTTGTCACAGGTTTCTTTCTGTATCTTTCATGTCACAACATCAACTTGCTCTTGTAAACTCAACATGGTGCCTCAAAGGATGCTCCTTTGCAAGGTTATAATCCATACACTTTTTTCAATAGTTTAGACCCGTTTAGACAGAAAAGCTGAGAACACAAAAATAGTCAAGGTCTTTTGTGACACCCTGTATTTGGAAATATCATTGTACTCTTTTGATGATATTGGCTTAATTGCATTTTTCCAAATCCACAATCAAAATCAATGTAGCAGAATTTATGTCACGTTAAAAAAATTTCCATCCTAATGAAAAAATTTAGCCAAAAAATACAATGTATTGCCAATTGCAGTCGAGCATATTTCCATCAGTTGGAGCAGATGTATTTGAAGTCGAACGACCTGTTTTCTCCATCTGTCTTGCAAAATTAGACAGATCAAATGTAATATGCATTCGAGAAATGATGCTTCAATCCTGCATTTTGTAATTTTGTTATGACCCATTCCTGAGTCTCAGCGTTCTAAAGAAAGTAGGCAAAACTTTTATGACATATATCATGAAAAAATTTGTATCTCTTGCTAACAGATAAAAAAAATTACTTTAAAAAGTTTTTCACTTTTAAATGCAATAGAACGTAAAATATCCTAGTGCATGCATTGGCATAATTTGATGAAAATATGGCGAGAAAGAAATTCATCTGGATTTCCAGAATTTTGATTCACTTTTCGTCAGTACAAACTGTCCATTGTTTATTTTCGCCAGTGCGACGAAATTTTAAAAAGTTTTCAAAGGCATTTTCTTCCTAATATTCGCCGAAACGAATATCCTTGTATCTATCGCTTGTAATTGCTATCTTGGAAAATATCAGAGATCTTACATACCGGTCGAGGATTCCCCCTCCCTTTTATTTTTTTTAGCATATTAGCTTAGTTTACGATGGTCACTGACATCTTTATAGATGAGGCATGAAGATTGCAAGGAAAGCGCAATCTAATCAATAAATAATTATGATGGTGAAAAGCCGGATACTTTTGATCCAATCAGGAGTTGAAATCGGAGGCGAGCAAAAAAAGGACAGGTGTCTCCGGTGAAAACCGGTGATGTGTCGGTCACCCTTATCGAGAATGTAACGATGCAACATCAGCACCAATCTCAACCGGCAATCGATCTATCTTGAGTGTCATTGCCGTCTGTCCGTTTCTTTCTTTAATTACCATTCACCTGACGCATATTTTAATTATTCTAAACACAACAGGTGCGTACATTCTTCAAATACATTTTTAATGGTGTCTTAACATTAGAGTCTTATACCATATGTGGAATTTAGAATTCTTTGGTGGGGGGGGGGGGCGTCTTCTTCGTCAGGTAGAGTATCCTGCTACATCAGCCCCCTCCCTCCTCCCAGTTTCCCTTAAATATTAATGAACGAATTAAAAACAGTGTATATAAATACTAAAATTTAAGTGAAATTTCATTTAAGCCTGTCACTTCAACAGTACATAAAGATATCAAACCAATTATGAGGCTGTGTTCTTGTTGACCTTCAGGACAGGAATTAAATTGACATGCGTCAACTATCACCATCTCTGGGATGATAAATGATGCGGCTGTATTCTGGTTGATGGATTCAGTTGCCAGTAAGTACGAGACATGGTTTGTGATCTACTCCATGTGTGGAAACTCCAACTTTATTCCCTTGCCGTGCCCATAAGAATTGAATGAGTTCTTGGACCCGGAACCTGGAAGATGTGATTGTGAAAGGAGAGCACCTGTTTCCTTGCTCAAGGTTGTCGACTGAAAGAGTCAACCGAATTCAAGCCATTCTTTATAGAGGGTGTTCTTATATAAACACCCTGTATTCTCATGCTTGTTGGGACAGGAGACTAGGTTGATGCGATGACTCCCACTCAAAAAGAAAAAAAAATTAAGAAAAATAAAAATAAAATAAAAATAAAACAGAATGTTTGACAAGGAAAAAAAAAAAGACATCATGACAGGATTACGAATGCCCCTGGGAACATTATATCTTTCCTTTTTTCATTATTGATTCATGTCCAGTATTCTTGCCTTTGACCATCTTGGTGGAAGGGAGGTATAGTCAATGACACTACACTCTGTCTAAGGAAAGGAGGCCATTTTATTTTCTTAAATATCTCAATCCGATATCGTGCAAGGTTCATGCTTTCCTACACATTTCAGTTCTGGTGAATAAGATTTCATCCAGTGCTTCAAGTGCAATAATTTTTCAAAGTGAAAGTGTCAAAATAATATGGAGATAATAAAAAGTAGAATGGAGGCTTGAAAAAAAAGTGGCCCCTCTTTTTTGAGACACTACTTCGTGGAATGTGTGGAATCTCCACACCTGCTTCACACTAGGAAGAACTTCTCACTGCTCGGTAGTGAGAAGGATGTTGGTTACCCGAGCATCGCCATCTCCACCTTAATCGAACACAATGCACTGGCTGCCAAGGAGTGGCATAGAAGCGAGCCTTAATCAGCTAATGCTTTGTGCTATTGTGATAAGTGCGAGAGAGGCTTACGCTGTGGCCACCCTCATCCGCTCACTGTTCGGGCGAAAACTGTCTTTCTTCCAAAACATTTTCATACTTAGTGTAGAGAGATTTCAGCAATATAGATATATGTAATTTCTGTTTATGCAGGGCTGGCTCTGTATCAGCCGGGAGCAAGGAGCATGACATTCCATTTCCACTCAGACGAGGGTCGAAATCGACCGGGTTTCCTGATTGCATTCAGGCAAGTGCATCACTGTCTAGACATCTCTGTTGACGAAGGTTTTAGGTAAGGCTTGTCAATCCCTTCCCATTTCTTCTTTTAAATCTCCTGTCTCCAGAGAAGGATACTGTATTCTCCAAGGTCCTTCTTAGTTTCAGGGTGGACCATATGATATATTCTTGCCATTATGAAAATATGTGGCAATCTATTTACTGCATAGATCCGATCAAGAGAATGAAATCCTTTTTTACATTGACACCTTTTATCGGCCGTCTTTTTCCATGCATTCGAGATACAGCTTGGAAGTCTTTGGTCTCTGGATGAAAGTTGAATTTATTACGCTGAGAATGATGCCAGATCAGTGTAACGGAGCATGAAATCGGAGTCTTAAAGCTTGAGTTTCTTCTGGATGTCGTCGATGGTTCTCACGGATTCTTGAAGTTTATTCCTCTCGTCTTCAGTTAAGGTTTGTTTCACGACATAGTTGATGCCATTTTCCCCTACAACGCAGGGCAAGGAAAGGAACACCTCTTCCTGGATCCCATGGAAACCCTGAAAAAAAAAGCCAACGGCGTCATGCCATCTCTGGGAGAGGATTTTCCTTTTTTAATTGATCGCTAAACGTATTAAATAAGGGAATGCCTTGACGAGAGTGGAGAGAGCAAGGACACATCTGACGTTGGAGAGAATGGCCTGGCATATCACTCCCACCGAGACCCCGATTCCCCACGATGTATAGCCCTTCAGCTGGATTATCTTGTAAGCACTGAAATACGAGGAAATTGCATTTAAGGCATCGAGTTGATCGAGCTGGAGAAAGGAAGGAGACAAGGCAACGTTTTTCGAAAGGCAATGAGAGGAACTATCCATGATAAGGGAGAACCAAAAAATAGTTAATAAGGGACAAAATTGGAAAGTAAACGCCGTTATGCCTGTCGGGTGAAAGACCAGCAGGGAGGGAGGAGGTGGAGAGGACCTCTGGACGACGTCCATGTGAATTTCATTCCATTTATCAGGATCTTCAGAGGTTCCGAACTTAGGGTTGAGATCCAATAGTCGAACCCCGGCAACATTCACGCCCGACCAAACAGGCACTGTCAATTCACGAACGAATCAATTGAACACTAGGCAGTATCTAAAAGCAATTCTTTTATAACATCTCGATGATGGATGAGGCACAAGAAAAACGTTACCACTGGAGTCACCATGTTCGCCGATGATCCATCCATGACACGAAGAAGGAGCCATTCCCAATCGTTCGCTCATGAGAACTCGGAAGCGGGAGGAATCTAGATTCGTTCCCGATCCGATCACTCTGTGGGATGGCAGCCCACTTAATTTCCACGCCACCCAGGTCAACAGATCAACTGACGAGAAGGGAGAAAAAGGCATAGAGAAGAAGAGACGAAATTGATGTAATGAGAAAGAACGAGGGAGAGAAAGACTTTCAGCCGCACCAGGATTGCTAACGACCAGGATGATAGCATCCGGATTATACTTGACCAATTGGGGTATGATTTGCTTGAAGATCCCCACGTTTCTTTGCACTAAATTCAGTCTGGATTCTCCTTCTTTCTGCCTCGATCCTGCAGTCACCACACAGACCTTCGATCCGGCCGTGATGCTGTAATCTGACCGTCACGTCGTTTTCATCAATGTCTATCATCAAGGTAACAGCAATTGATGCATTGCAGCAGTGTTGGTTAAGTTACTTTTGAAATGCGACACAATCAACTTCAAAGTTACTGTTACTAACGGGTTACCTCCGTCACGTTATATTGATATACATGGATATATATTCAAGGCTGTCCATCTCAACCGTACTTAGGTCGCGGCTGAAAGCAAGCCCAAGAACGTCTTCCAACGTTCCTAATCCTACGACTTGAACCTAGCAGGTGGGATGCCGAGCTCTGTTACATAGTCATTCCGTCTTGGACACAGAGACCTTTTTAGGGAGACTCTCCGAGGGCATGCGGCAGACGTGTCTAAACAATTGTACTTGAGATCCTTCGATCCGAAGTAGCTGCTAGACCTAAAGGTTCTCATGGATGGGGGCATTCCGCAACCTTTCACTTCGCGTAACACCAGCCACACGCCACAAGAACCTCGTTGAGGCAGCTTGTATTCTCTCTGATTCTTTTGGTTATGACACAAAGTTCATGGCCATAGGTGAGGGTGAGGAGATAAGCACAAAAACCGAGACTTTTGCTTCTATGGAAATTTCCGATTTGGCAATAACGCCCCGTTAGAGTTCCTGCAAATTGTTGAAGCTCTGGAAATGTTACTGTCAATCTCGTTTCAATAACGCCCATCACTCGAGGACCAGATTCCAAGGTACTTTAACTTCACCAGTTCCAGAGGGGCACCCATTATGAATTGTGTGCACCGTAAATAATTTCTCAAGAGAAGAGGCAATTTGAAGCAGTTGAGGATTTGTATGCTAGAACCCCATGGAGTTGTGAACAATCCGCAGCTAATCTACATGGCAGGATTAAAAAAAAATTATTATTTTTTATCATCCTTATTGATATTTGCCATTTAACAATATTTGACGTGTTCCAGTGACAAAAAGCCAGAAGTGCCAGTTAAAAATCAAGTTGAAGAAGTTGAAAATAATTGGTCTAGGGCGATGGAACCTGTACCTTTCCTGTCGGTCGATGCTTAGTCGTCTACATTTAGTTGTCGTATACTAGCTTATTCCACGATTTCTGGCTCCTTGCTCCCCACGTATCAGAACAGACCCACATCTAAAGTCCGTTGCCTGTGTCGTTCAACTCTTGGTTTCGCTTCTGGACTGACCTGAGGGCTAGTACCGAAGATACGCCATAGTCAGCGGTAGGCCAACCGATGAGTCTAGACGTTGTACGATGGGGTCCGACGTACCCAGAAACATTGGATCGCCCTACCACCGTAGCCAACTCATCGATAGTCACCCTACAAGCACAACGACTGTCGGGGTCCTGATTATCATGGGAGACGACCAATCCAGCAAGGAACTCCCGAGCAGAGAGCGTCACGTGTGTTTTGGTTCATCTTGGTCTCTCTTAATAGAAGGTTATTATGGTACGAGGGCCACTCAATAAGTTATCTACCTGAATATGAAAGGGATGAGCAACAGCCCTGTGCCTGCTGTGACATGTCTCGACAGGTCTCGTGAGTGCCCCACCACTATACCAGCTCAGTGGCTCAAGTCCGTTCAAAGTGGTAGCGCATTAGATTTCTTTTCCTGAGTCTGTGTCATGGATTTGACGAAAGTCGAACATCGTTCAGTGATCAAATTCCTCACCAAAGAAGGGAAAACACCTAAGGAGATTCATGAACGTATGTCTATCGTTTATGGTGTGTCTTCGCCTTCTTATTACCGAGTTAAATTTTGGAGCAAGCAGTTTAAGTGGGGAAGAGAGTCAATCGAAGATGACCCAAGGCCGGGGCGCCCTGTGGAGGCTTCTGATCAGGAAACGTGTGACAAATTGGAGAGTGCGATACTGGAGGATCGTCGCACCAAAGTCTCTGTTTCAGCTCATGAACTGGGGATTTCAGAGGGCACAGTGATTCACATTATTCATGAAAAATTACACATGTCCAAAGTCAGTTATCGATGGGTCCCAAGAATGCTGACTCCAGCTCAGAAGAAGAACAGATCTGACATCTGCAATGAAAACTTGGAGTTTTCTAAACAAATCGGGGAAACTTTTTTTCCCAGAATAGTAACTGGTGATGAAACTTGGGTTCATCACTGGGATCCCGAAACCAAGCAGGAGTCCATGCAGTGGAAGCACAAGGGATCGCCAACGCCTCGCAAATTTCGTGTTCAGAAACCTGCAGGAAAGATTATGGCCACTGTGTTTTGGGACAGCGAGGGACTACTGCTGCTCGAGTTCATGCCAGACGAGTATACAATCACTGGCGATTCCTATGCTACCACCATGAAAAATTTACATGATGCCATCGAGGAAAAACGCAGAGGAAAGTTGTCAAGGGGGGGTCCTTCTTCTCCATGACAACGCGCCCGTCCACAAATCATGGAAAGTTCAGGCAGCAATGAGGAGTGTGGCTTTCAGGAGCTGAATCATCCTCCCTACAGCCCGGATCTGGCTCCTAGTAACTATTTTCTGTTCAGACACTTGAAAAAATTTTGCGGGGAAAAAGATTTTCATGCAATGAAGAGCTGAAAGTTGCCGTTTCTGATTGGTTTGATGGACAAGAAGTTGACTTCTATTCCCAGGGAATAAAATCCTTGGAATCAAAGTGGAATAAGTGTGTTGAGTTAAAAGGTGACTACATTGAAAAATAAAGAGTTATTTTTCCCCTCGGATGTTTCTTTCTTATTCAGGTAGATAACTTATTGAGTGACCCTCGTAGTACCCGGGATACTACGGCCTTCCAAATCACCAAGTCTATTCTCGCGATCTGGACGCACGAACAGTTGAGGTCAGGTTAAATTGATCTACTCAGCATCTCTGTAATACAATTTTTTGTGAATGAAACTCTTGAGAGCGTTACTTAAAGGCATAAGTAAGTAAATTGAGACATAAATTCAGTTTGGATGGTGGGAGAAAACATTTAAATGCATTGCGGCACATTGTTTATTGACTGACGAGCCTCCGTATGCTGCCACATAAAATGACTTTTCCTCACTGGAAGCAATGGAAACCGTAATTTTGCAATGAAAGGTTGTCCTCATTCCAAGAAAGCCTCATTTAGGAAGGATAAGTTACTTGGTAACTACTCATTAAGTTACTCAAGTCACTTCGGAAAGATTATAGATGAGTTTCCAGATACACAGCCACAAAATTGACACAAGTAACAAGTTTGCATGATAGGTCCCTCTGATATTAATTTAATTCTGTAACTTGCTTGCAGGGCCGTAATTACCCCGTATAGCCCCCTTGAGTAGGATATCATGAACCCCCCCCCCCTCATGGCTTTTTTCATCATTATGTCCTGTTAGTTCTCCCGTCCCTTGAACTGATATCTACGTGTACACGTCTAAGTTTGCACCCCCTCAACTGAAGTGAATCTGAATGGCAAAGCCCAGTCGGTGTCTTTTTATTCAAGTATACGGAATAGTCATGAACTCATGACTAACCCTATGAGCATTCATTGGTACGTTCATGGGGCTCCCTCAATAACTACAGCACTGCTTTCCTTGCTTTTCGAGATACAGATGTCAATAATATGGTCACAATTCTTACGCTACTTGATTTTCAATGGAGAGCATTGCAAGGGTTGGAGACCTTTCTTGGTCCATCGTGGATCGGCTGCACGTCTTGATAAGCTTAAGTTTGCTAAAGCTTCTCTTGCATGAAGCAATTGAGGAGAGGGTAAGAAAAATCCTGAGAGCGATCTCCAAGTTGGGATACGCATCGAGGACATGTGAATGTGTATCGAGAGTCGAAACTCCATTCCATCATTTTATGACTAGCTTTTCGCTGTTCAAACACATTTTTCCTTTTCATCTTTCGCTGCATCATTTCCTTATCGCTTGCTTCGCCCCCCTCCATTCTCGGCGCCCCCTTCCGTAGATGCGGGGCAGGTGACCCCCCCCCCCTTTATTTACGGCCCTGCTTGCTTGCGACTAGTTATTAATCGACACAGTCGAGTTGGACTGTACCTGTGGAAGCCTGAACCTTCATGTACTTGAGGAAGGTGAGTCCATGCTGAAGATCCATCATTTCGCCCTCAAGACGATCCGCCAGGACGTCCACGAGAGCTATCTCCGACGCTAAATGCTATTTTACGATGTTCTTACGCTGGGTACCATCGACACGTGAAGCCTTCGGTGAGATGGATTAAAAGTGGAGAAGATATCACATACTTGGGTGATGATGGTGAAGGCACAGGCCATGCCGACTTGTCCGGCTCCGACGATGGTCACCTTGCTGCCCGAGGATCCCGACGGCGTCTTCATCTTTGTCAGCAGGGTTTCCTTCACCAAATCGCCTGGTCTCTTATGGCCCAAACTAGACATTTTTCTTCTTTCCGATTTCACTCCTTCTGTCCTTTGAAGAATCCCCCTTTCTAGGCTCTTGCGTCTCCCTTGACGGACACACGAATAGAATTCCGTCCGTCTAGGTTCCCGTTTCGAGGTAGAATTGGCCTGGCAGGACGAAATGGTTTTTTCTTGGCGCTTCTCCGTGGACATGTCACATTCAAAGGTGATTTATTGAGTGAATGGAGGTTTTTGAGCCACAAATTAATGAAAAATTATATGTAAATATTCATACTTTTTGTTTCTGCTGTCAGCTGTAGCACCAACCCAAGTTCTTGTTTCTGCCGCTAGATAAGAGCACCAACCAAACGATCATTGTGGCTTCAGAACGAAACTACTTTTCCAGAGCCATGCTACCAGTGGCAGCTCGAGAACGAAAAATCTGGGGCGGCCAGCACATGAGCTTCATAACGAACACGAATTCATTATAGTCTTAATGGGGGCACGAAGCGGTGAAGGTAAGTATAGGTCGTCAGTCTTGTCGCCCGAAGAGTCGCACTTCTTGAAGTGGCAGGTAGCAAATAAAAGGCCGAACGAGAAAAGGTTTCGAGTTGGCGGAGTATATTGAGTCGAAATGAAAGTAGAGCGGAAATCATGAAAAACCTGAGGGTGAATAGAGGAGCATCTGATCCGAGAAAAGTATCAGTCTGACGACGTTCTCCCCTTGCAATTTTCGGAACTTCCCCCGAACAAAATCACATCTAGCCCACTTAGCGAATATCATGATTATGTGCAATAGATCTTGTGACTTTACCTCCCTTGGCAACTGCGTAGATTTGAATTGGCGATGTGAATTCGAATGACCGAGCAGCTCTCTACTTGAGACAAAAGGGCCTAAATACGTGCAAGAGCTTGCTGGAAGGAACCCGCTCATGCGCAATACAGGTGGCAAGGACAGTACCTGCTCTCGTGTATAAAAACTTAGTGTTAAAAAAAAATAAGTTCTATCCTTTTCCTATTGAGAAATGACAAGCTTTTTCCAAGGTCTTGCGTGGGCTCCGCTTGTGGAGTTTCATCGTTTTTGGAAGATGCAGCATTTTTAGTCTTTTATCCCTTCTCTTCAGACTGTAAAACAATCGCAGGGAATGAAATGGAATCTCACTGGTTACAACATATCTGACCTCATTTCTGTTCGTCACATCTTCACAAACCTTTCGTTCTGGACATATCAGCTGATATTCTTTGTACCTCATCTGCAATGGAGTTTTGCAGCGACTTAGCGGTCGCATGACATCTCTTCTTTGCTTCAGCATGGGACCAAAATCTTTCAGAATTTATCGCAGGAGGATCATCTTGGAGTTGAGTTAAATTTACCGTAATTTCAAAGGTTCTACTTCCCTAGAAATATCGAAATATTAATTTTTAAAATGAGATTATAATTAATCTGAATCTTCATTCCTTTGAAATGATAAATTCAGGTTTTAATGAGATAATTCCCAGGCAATTTAAATCCAAATTATTAATCAGCGTAATCAGAGTAGTCAGGATCAGTCTTTGGAATTCTAAACCTAATTCAACTTGAGTCTTTCTAATTTCCAACTGAATGTAATCTTTCACATTTCAAATAAAAATCTATTCCTTTTCTTTTTATAACTCTTCTGTAACGACCAGAAAATATAATAACCATAAAGCCATATGTTCTTTAATTCTATACTACTGGAAGAACATTAGGCTGAGCAGGTACACTGGAGGGAAGGGGATGGGACACGTGCAGTACTCCAATAGTTCCGATGCAATGTTTGTCTCGCAATGTTCAGCCCGGGGTTTGGTCCAGCATTCTAAGAGAAGAATAAAAAAGGTTAAAGATTTGCCAAAATAAAAGATTTAAAACTCTGAACCCGCCCATCAGAATCTCGCGTAAAATTAAAATCCTTCATATCTGGGTCGAACCAATCATTACCTGTATTTGGAGGTGAATCTGGGATCAAATGGCTTATCCAACATTTTAACAGTGATTCGCGACTCAAATCAAATTGCGTGTTAGATTGGGCCTTCTCTACTTCATTTCCTGCGATTCTGGACATGTGTCAACTGTTAGAGAACGTTGCTCGTCGCTCGGTTGCGTCAATTGAAGATGATTCCAGTGGTTCTGAGATATTCCTTTCAGATAATTTATATCTTAATGGATATTTCCAAGTTGTATGGGAAAGTGCTCCTTAATAATTTTTTGAGGAAGTCGGGCTTTCCTTGTCTTCCCTGAAGAGTCGCCACTGCATGCATGTGCTATGGAAGGTGGCTACACGGCAAAACCACTCTGAACCAAGGGGTGAAGGTAACATGCTTCATGCGGGCCTTCATCGATCGACGGAAGGCTGAGGCTGAGCTCAGCCTTATCCAGAATCTCGCTGGATTGCATCACCCTTAGACTTCATGTTCTATCCGATTTTTTCGTGTTTTCCACATCTCTCCCTGTTTTTCTATTCAAGTGATGATGACGTGTTTTACTCGAGGTAGGAGGGATGGTGCAAATAGAGCGAATCCACCGTTGTCAAACGTCATAGACCACATAGGATAGGACAACATGGAGAAATTCTCCCCCTCCAAAAAATATATAAATAACATTTAGAGCATGCCAGAATATCACCACAAGCGAAAACAAATGGAATCGGAAAGAGCAGGTTATTGAATGGAGCATTTAACGTAAGGATCGGAGTAGGAGAATTGCATTCCTACATGCAACATCTTAACTTACGTATGATCGATGATCGGAGGATTCTTGAAACGTTTCGGGCGGTATTTGGATTCACGGAGGGGTTTACCTAAGTTTTGGGGAATCAAAGGACCATCAGGATGTGAAATGTGCACGAGTGCAGAGTTTTTCTCGATTGAGAAAATGTTGATCAGTCGTTCCTTGAGAAATGTCAGTTTCGGGACGATTTACTCTGTTACACGAAGACGAGACTGCAATGTTTCTATAACGTAGGATAGTGGGTGTGACTACGAAGCTCCTTTCAGTCGAAACTATCGCAAAAATGATTTGTCACATTTAGGTGCTTTATAGGTGAGGCGATTTTATGCCTCTAAGAATTTAAATGTAAAAGCCCGTAAAAGGTCACTTTCATTCGACTGAACAAATATTCCTTTTAACCATTGCGCTCCGGAAAGTTGAGACATGCAATCTAACAGGAAAAGTTCCCAGAATCCGTCTTCGCGGGCTTGCTGAGACTGTGCCGCAAGAATGGAACAAAATCGAACTTTAAGAACTCACTGTTGAAGAGTGGAGTAAAGTGAAATTCTGAAAAGAAGCTGAAGTGACTGACGTCAGGCTGGTCCGAGAAACGAGGTTAAATAAGGTCCGGGACGCACGACCGATAACTTACGTATCCATTGAAATGTTTAGGCTTCTCCGTTGGACGACGAAAGGAGTCGAAGCGCAGGACCTGATGCAACTCGAGACCCAAGCTGCAACACCCTCCTTCAGCCTTCTCCATCCTAATGCTCCTTACCCTCAAATTTTCGCGTGATGGAAACACCTGCTTGCGTCAATTCTCACTGATTCAGATGGACTCGATGGACCGCATCGAAACCTATCTACGGTAGAGTACTCTCTCGAAATACTTATCAGCATCGACCGGCCAGGAAGTCAGAGGAATCTGCTGAAGTCGGTGCGTGGGTGACGTAATGAAGGAGACACCTTACATCATGAGTATGCTATATAAACCACAGGCCGAAACCCCGGTTTGCGGTTCTCCATTTTGGTTGGGTTTCCATCCTAAAGACGGAGACGATGATACAGAGATTCTTCTTAATTAGTTTTCATTACGCGACGTAACATTGCATCTCTCAGCTCATGAAGTCTCGAGATCACCCTGTAACCCCCTCGCGACTTATAGTTTGAGAAATACAGTTATAATCAATCATGAAATAATATAAGAGATACTATATAGGAAAAAGAACAAAAAGCTTCCAACTTGATTAATTCACAACTATAAATAAAACTTTCCTATAAAATCTAACTACTTCAGAAACCTTCATGTTATGGGGAGTTGCGAAATTTGTAAGTTGTCGACTTGGAGAGAATGAAGAAATTGCATGAGCACAGATGAGAGTAAGGAAGTTCTTCAGCCCTTTGTATTTTAGTTTACATTTTAGTTTCATCGTTCAGTCTGGACCATGCATAGCTTTAGTTACCATATTCATTTTAGCCATCATGGGGTGGCAGTATTTCATTCTTGTCTTAGTTCAGCCTTCGCAACAATGACTTATTCTAGCTATAGTCATTTTCATCAGGTCTTTTCTCTTTATTGATACAACCACTTCATTATTTATATTCATTCGTAGTTACGCTTTTCCTACCTGAGGCGACATCATAAATAATCATTCTGTCTTCCAGCATTAATTTGCCTCAAGAAATGCTCTCTCCGACTCTCTCTCAATCGTATAACTGCCAGTGAATTCGAACGAGAAGGCCGTGCCAATTTTATTCACACGCCTTATTAGGCGAAGATAGAATACAAAATCAATTTCCAGTTTCAATTCGATTTTGTGTTGCGCGGCGGGCAAAAGCGATGCGACGTGTTGGGTTCCCAATTCTCATTCATCACCAGCATCCTATCAGCTTGTTGAAATTCTGACCCTCAATAAGAACCGCTTATTTTCGGAAATCTATATAATAAAAACTTATCTGATCCGTGGTGGTGATGGTGGTCGGTGGTATGCGCGCGCACAGCGCGATTTTGTGAGCAAGAGTCCATAACGTAGCCAAAGACCGCTAACGTTCGGAAACTTGGTTCGCATTCTATGTTTTAAATTTCAAAGGCACATAAAATAATCTTCATCTCTTTGCATCAATAGCAATAGATGATGATTGCACGGAATAATTAAAAAATTACTCCGTGCTTTTTGCACGGGCTACTGACTAGCTGTCTTAAAAGTCTAGCATAATATCAGCACAATTCTACGCTGATAACGAAAAGTACACACAAATAATGTGCTCCTCGAAATTTCATCGAACACGTACATTTCGGTCTCGTTTTCATTCCAATTGCTTCATATGAATGAAGTTGACAAGTCAACGGGTGTTCGAAGGAGTTGCATAGCATTCATGACCTCATTCACTCATCGATACCTTCTTGAGATTCAGCATCTCAAATTCCCGCCGTCTGCTAGAAATCAGTTTCTGTTCAATCCGTGCTGGTCTTGCTTGACGCGCCGGATCAGGAATCTGGTTTGCGGAGAAACAGTGAAATGTACGATGACATTCGTCCAGCTGTGTTGAATTCTGTGCCCGCTTAACCCTACTCTTTGCTGGTTACATTTACAAGGAGACTCGAACAGGGCAATGTAGAGAGAATTCGTAGTTTTCTTCCGTTCTCCGTCCCTCCATGGGCCCTTGGCCCTTCGTTTCTCATTGATTCGTATGTTGTACTCAATCTCCTAATTCTGCCCTGGGGGTCGAGGCAATTCCATGAGCTCAATGAAAACGCTGGTAATAGCCGCCAAAATTCTCGTTCCATTTGAAAATATAAATCAAAGTGGAGTTCCTGCTGATAAGAAGATGCATATAACGTTTTGTCAGCACTTTATAGCATAACTCATGGAATTAAAACACTTATCGAAATAATCTCGATTTTTGCAGTGTGAATGGCATTACCCAGGGTCTGTGCATTCGACAATTTTCCTTTAAAATTTTAATTATTTAATAAAGTCATCTCCATGCTATTTATCACGAGTTAGTGAAATTGGCAAATTTTTCTGAGAATCACAGACTTCAAACGGAAATCCACAAGGCTTCATACAACGTGAGAAGATAGTCACATTCATTTTCATAAAAAGCACAAACACAAGGACCGAGAAAAGAGATATGCCAAACCAATTCGATTCTGGATACGAAATTCTTGTGGGATAATGCTCACCATTTGCTCATCGTGCTCATGAAGGAGGTTCTCCCTTTCCTGCACATGGGGTCAGGATCAGGTTGGCTAAGTAGATTAGGAAATGTGGAGATGATATGAAATACTTCGCAAATTTCCTGTCTAAAGAATCTGATCACCCTAGCGAAGACAGAAAATTTTGAAGCAATGAGTCCTCTTCATCGCATCAGACCTTGATGGATGCCGATCTTCAAGTCTCTTCAATGACTTCTATTAATTATTAAATGTAAATTTATACGTTTTAATTTTCAAATACTGATTCACATCCAGGAGCAACACATCAACATTCAACTGTAGATGGGAAATCTGAAAGTGCACATCTCTTCTGATACTATGGTGCTCTAGCACATCAACAAATTCTGTTCCATTTTTAAACTTACTCATACAGTTGATGTACCTTCTTCATCAGGAGGGAGAGCACAAAGTAGCTTCATTATGTGCACAACGACAGAGTAAACATTTTTGTGGCAATTTATTTATTGCAACATTTGTTAAGATATTGCACACTTAAAAGGAAGAGAATGGGATAGGAAAATGAACAACGATGGAAACATTGGAAATTAAATTCTTCATGAATGCATATAAGCAGCTTAACAACACATACCCTAGCATTCTTGAGGTGGGGTGTAAGAAACAATAGGCATCTATTTTTATAGATTGCCAATAGCACACACTAATCAATTTTCAACTTTGCATAATTTCCCTACTTTAATTGCAAAAAATTGCATTGAAGATGCCATAATCTTCATGCTCAATCTTCATGAAGCCAATAGACATGATAAATGCCAAAATGAATTTTCACCTCACAAATGCTGGGATACAGTAAAGACACCCTTCCTTATAACAATTATCACTTACAAAAAACACATGTGGTTGGTTTCACTCTAGCTTTGCAAAAGAGATTCATTAACTTACAGTAACAGGATTAGTCTTCAATGACCAGTCTTACCAGAAACATTGAGCATGCTAATGAGTAAGGAAGGTGACGAGATTCTCGGCAGACCTGCATCACTAGAAATAGTTTAACAAGTTTGAAATAGTGTAACAAGATCTGATGAGGTAATCAATGACTCCCCTTCCCCATTATGAATTACTTCCACACAACCTGCAATGTAAAATCAATTTCTGTGCTGTAGTCTGAGTCTCCTGAGCATCAAATCAATTGAGTTTCCTCAAAATATTTTCCCTCAGAAATCTGCCAAAAATATCATTTTGCACAATTGACAACATACCATTACAAAAACATACTCCAAAGAATAAAAATGCAGACTTGAAAAAAACAGAGGCCAAATACAAGATGGTAACACACAACTACAGAATAAAACTGAGGTAAAAAGGTATTTGGAGCAGGTCTTGAAAATTCTGAGACAAGAGGATTGCAGAGGGACTAGATCCAAAGGAATGACTAGACAATTGCATTCACAACCTTCCAAAAAATCCTTAGCAGTACTATAAAGTAGGGGATGGATTGCATAAGACTGACTTTAGCATAATGGAGCTTCAAACCCTCCTTTAGCAGCGCTAAAAGAGGTTTAAAGCTCCATTGCACTAAAGTCAGTTTTATGCAATCCACCCATGAAGATTAAAAAGCATATATTACAATATTGACTACAGGAACACAACTACTAGTAAAGAATGATGGAACTGGGCGGAGAATTCACAAAAATGCAACAGGACATGTGAGAGAGAGAAAGATGGGTACATATCCTTGATTCAAAGCTGAAGCTCAGACTGGATTCCTTGAAGAGTTTTAGCTGATTTGTGGAGCTTCTTCAATTCATGCTCATTGAGAGTTTGGTGGACAATGAAATTGATCCCATTTTCTCCTAGAATGCAGGGAAGGGACAAGAAGACCTCTTCTGTGATTCCATGATGATCCTGAAAACCAGCACCATTCTCATTAAGAATTCATGTTTTCCCTACAAGGAAAAAAACTTAGAGTTGTCTTTTTTACCTTGACCAAAGTAGAGACAGCATAGCAGTTGTGTTGGTTCCTCAAGATGGCCTGACATAAAATGGCTACACTAGTTCCAATTGCCCATGATGTGTAACCTTTGTATTTGATGATGTTGTATGCACTGGCATGAGAAAGAAGATAGAGAAAGGGATAGAAATGAAGAAACACCCTTAAGGTGAAAATCAGGCATGCTACCCTTATACAAAGCCCCCTCACCTCTGAATAACCTCCTGGTGCAAAGCCTCCCAGTCTTCAGGATCTTCTGCAGTACCAATAAGAGGATTCAGTTCAGACAATTTGACACCTGCAACATTTACTCCTGACCAGACAGCCACTACATTAAAAAAGAAATGACAAGGCATACTCATGAGACTCATATGTTGATACATAGTAAAATACATTCCAATAAAAACAGAGATTATCATCAAAGTCCTTTATAATAGTTCATTTCATTATTTCCAGGTAAGGAAAAGAAATAGCTGGCAGGGTCAAGTACACACCACAGGAAAAGGTGGAATTAATTCTTCCTGAATTTGGAGGATTTACATGTAGTCAGATCTGTGGATGTGAAGAATTTCACTATAGGCACCTAGTCAAACCAAAATTGAGTCAACCTGCTGCAAATAAAAATCTGAGGTAGCTGAAAGAAATTGGCAATGTTTAAGATAGAAAACGAAAGTCACATTACCTAATTACCTAATGATTGGGTACTGTGGGCCTGTGGAATGGCCACCTCTGTCCCAAGACTTAGTTCGATTGGACTTTTTATGGGGGCATTCAAAGTCCAGAGTATATGAATTGAGGCCCTGAAATCTGGAGCAATTGAAACACAATACACAGAGAACAGAATGTGCAGCTATCACAAAGGACATTCTTCAACACATCCAGAAAAACTTCCATCACTGGGTTGATGTTTTCAAATATCTCATGAACATATTATAATGGACTTTTGATTCATCCTGTACATATATAAAATTTATATATATATTAGTCTTACCGCTTGAGTCTCCGTGTTCTCCAATGATCCACCCATGGCATGAGGATGGTGCAACACTTAACTTTTCACTCATCAGAAATCGAAAACGAGAGGAGTCAAGGTTTGTTCCTGACCCAATGACCCGATTCTTGGGCAGCCCACTCACCTTCCATGCCACATAAGTCAAGACATCCACTGAAAAAAAAATCAATGACATTAGCACCTTAACATGAATTAATTCTACTAAAAGTACAGAAGAGATGATGGAACCCACCAGGATTGGTGACAATAAGGAGAACTGTATTGGGACTGTACTTGACCAACTGAGGAATGATGGTCTTGAAAACATTCACATTCCTTTGCACCAAATTCAAGCGTGATTCTCCTTCCTGCTGGCGTGCTCCAGCAGTAATAATGCAGATTCGAGATCCTGCTGTCACTGAATATTCTGAAAATGGATTTTATACATAAACATTCAAGATACTTGGTATGAGATGGATGATTTACTGATATGAAATATGATGGAACTAACCAGTAGAAGCATTGACTCTCACATTTCGAAGAAATGTCAGACCATGCTGCAGATCCATCATTTCTCCTTTCAATTTGTTGGCATTCATATCTACCAAGGCTATTTCAGTGGCGACATGCTGTAGTAAGAAATAACATGCATCAATACCAACCTACTCTTTGAATGATCAACTTTTGTTTCCTGATTCTACTTATCTACCTGTGTCAAAATTGCATAGGCACAAGCCATGCCAACTTGTCCAACTCCAACAATAGTGATTTTGCTGCCTGATGTTGGGGAGGGTGGCTCTACCTCTGTCAGCAGAAGCTTCTTGAGAGATGAAGAAACTGTGGCCATGGCTTCACCACTTCCCATGGAGATCTTAAATGGATATAAAAGATAAGCCCGAACAGCAAGTGACTGATAATGCTATAACAGCAGAGTAGCACTTGGAGTAATGGAACAGATTTCACACAAGTTGATTTGTCAAATCTATTAATATAAAGTCTACAAGTCAAGGGTAATTAAAAACCTCAATTCACAACTCAACTCAAGGCAATTTAAAATGAAAGTTTCATTTATGAGCTACAAAGGATATATGAAAATAAACAGTACACAGAAACTTATATGCATTTTAAGATATAACACATCCAAAGTCCACTATAACCCTTTATTTTTACATTTTAGTTTATATGGGTCATAACGATCAAGAGCATTTGTCCCTTTCAAAGTCTGTACCTAGGGTAGAATAGATGTTTGCTCAATCACATCCACATAATTATCTTACTTACAAAGATAAAAACTTTTCTACAAAGTAGTGGCTCTTAAGCATCACACAAATAATGTAGGTCACTCAAAAAAGAACTCTGAATTGTGATGAAATGGACAATTTTTCTACCCTCAACTGCCTCAAGAAGTGTTCCAGAGCAATCATATTCCAAATATACATGCAGGAAGTGGTCGTTTCTCAGTTCCTATGCAACTGGGGATCTCTGTAGATATGGAAGCATTGAAGCACAACTGTTGAACTCTTTCCAGGAAAAGTAGGGTTAGACAATCACAGGTTAAAATTAGTTCAGGTCATTATGGGAGACTGGAGAGAAACAATCAAAAGGTTCCACCTTTTTTTTTTTACCTTGCTCCACTGACCTTTATTTAAGGTTCTTAAGGTCATTGTATTGGACCACTATCCTGTAACAGATGTCTGTTGGTGGGGTCCCTTAAGTCATCTAAAACTACATGTAACCACACTGAATTTTTTGGCTGCACGTGGAATGTCACTTTCAATGTCTGTTAACTCAGATCAGATCACTATAGAAGATGCCACCCCAATAATTATATTACTACATACCTTGTTTCATGCACTACATGTATATATGCACATCAATGTACATATGGAAAGTATTTTGAATAAATAGGAATGGAACTTTGTGGCCTAGCACAAGCCTAGCTAAAGAAAAGAACTTATCACAGAGTATGATCATAAAATGCTTATCCTGCTGAGATTGAATCATACAACTTTGTCAGAATATATATTTGATTTGAGGAAGCCTAAGTCTTTCCGCATGAAAGCCCTTCCTCCCAACATGCATCATGCAGCACAGTATATTATGTACGAGACACATTCTTCAGAATTGGTTTATATGCTACCCTTTGGGAGGAAATTGGTTGCTAGACACAAGTTAAGATTATTCAATCTACAACTGGAAATATGTGCAAGTCTCTTTCCCACCTTCCACATCAGTTGCTGCAATTTCTTGGACACATGAAACATAGACACACATCCCATAAGGAAGAGGTATGATACAGGTATCAATGAAATTAGCAAATGAAGTTCAGAGGAACAAGGTAAAAAAAAATATGTCCAGTATTCAAATGTACATAAGTGCACTAAGCCAAGGCCTCCATATTGATTGAATTTCAATGCAAGAGACCCTTGGCCCATTCTATATTCACTACACATGGCTGACTAACCCCAAGGAAACTCCTATTAGCAAGCACGCTGTCCATCCATGCAAGAAAAAACCCTTAATAAAATTAACAAGTTGGGTCAAGCTCAGTTTTGCAGATGCTATATGCTCTAGGCAGGCTACCATATCACCAAAGCTTCAATCAATGTTGAGGTCCACTGTGTTTTTCACTTGAGTCAGACAATTTTTCACTTGACTTGGACACTCGTGCATGGGATGCTCCTCATGCACGAGTGCTAAAATCAGGTGAAAAATTGTCTGACTCAAGTGAAAAACACAGTAGAAGGTTATATCGAGCCCTAAGCATATTTTAGTTTTCACAATTTGCGAAAGCAGAAACTTAACGCCAAACCAGAAGGTGGGATGTGCAGGCTAGAGGCTGATAGATTGAAAGACCTGGCCTAGGCCAAGTTCAATCGACCTACATGCTTTTCAGGGTCCTTAGACTCACTGGCTTATCCATGATAGTAGAGAAAGAGAGCTGGGGCCAACAGGAGGATGCGAATAAATAAACAGACGTGATTCAGCAGAAGCGTTGACTCCTGTCAAATGGTACGAAAGACTCGACGACGAAGCAGGCAGCAAAGAGAGTTGAACGTCTGAGCAACCTCTACGGTCTGCGTTCCGGTTGACACCAGACCACGGTAGCGGTCGTTTCTGTATGAATACGCCACTGCGCAGAAGTGGCTGTCCTTCAAATTCGGTGGTAGATACACCATGTCAAAGTGACGTAGCCAGGAATGTCTTTCAGGGCGTGTCAAAGGTCCTTTTACACACTTCTATCACGATTCCTTGAGATGTTTTGGAGCGTGCCAGCATTCAACCTTGAACTCATTTTTAACTCCATAAATGAGACATGGAGAGAATTCGATCAAGTTTGAGTAGCTTGAGGTGCAAAAAGCGTGCGAAAAATTAATATTGAAAAGAGAAAGGAAAAAGGCAAACCCAGCATTTAGTAGAACTAGAAGCGTAGCAAGGGCCTAATTTTTGGGAGGACCAAAGAGATTCTGGGGAAGGAGGGGCTTGCATATCCCGTGAAAACTTATCTGAAAATCGGTAACTTTTGTCTCTTTATGTAACACTAGAAATAGCAGGGCATATTTTAATGCGTAGTTTTAACAGATATGTGCAGTTCTGAAACATTTTGTGCAATTCTGAATTGGAATTCGCGCAGTTCAAAATTGGGCAAGAATTACATTATGTAACAAAAATTTGACATAAAAATGGTACTAAATCTAGTATTTCTTTCACGAATTTTCGCGCTCCGCGCCGGGGGGATCTCAGCGCCGTACAAACCACTAATACAGAGGGGTTATAATCGTTTGTGCAGATGTGATTTTTTCTTACAATATGCTCTGGAAAATATAATTTGTATAAACGAATGGACATGGCGAAATTCAGTAATTCATTCCTATTTTATTCTGTATTGTTGCATTGGGACTCAAATTTACAAAGCCCATTCACCAAGAAGGCATGTCATTTTCAGAATGATTTTACTCGGTATCTTGAATTGCTAAAAAAATTTCATTTTGCACTTGTTCAAGCAAGTCAGACTCAATACAGTATTAAGAATGTGCAAGGCTGACATTCAGCTTTCTGTCATACAGTTTCTTGACTTACTCTTCACTCTGTAAATCCATGAGAAGGATCTCTCTCAGAACAGGCGAAGAAAGATTGAGTGACTGCTACTTTGTAGAGCTCAGAGGATAATGGGAATATAGTCCCAGATAATTTATCAGACACTTGAACCTTAGTAGGGTTGTAACTACCATCACAGATATTTTCTAGATAGGATTGCCCCATAGGATAGAATGAAAACTTCGGGAAATTTCGGTTCCGCTAAGAATTATATTTGAAAACAGCTTTTCGCGTGGAGAAGTGTCGAGGGACTGGAACTTGACGAACGTCATACCGATCTTTAAGGGTGAAAAAAGTAATCCGGCTAATTACAGCCCGGTAAGTCTCACAAGCTTTCCAGGAAGGATCATGGAGAGCATCCTAAGGGATTAAATTTTGTATTTCCTTGAAGGTAACGCGCTCATCAGAGACTCAACCCGGCTTTAAGAGTCGCCGCAATTGTCTCACCCGTTTGCTCGAATTTTACGATTGAGTGACGGAACAGAGAGATAAGGAGAACCCCGTGGATGTCGTCTCTTTAGATTTCTTGAAAGCCTTCGATACCGTTCCTCACCAGAGATTGCGGGTTAAATTGGAGGCGCAGGGTTTCCAGGGTAGGACGAGTGACTGGATCAGTAGCTGGTTGACGGGAAGAGAGCAGCGAGTGATGGTAAATGGGGAAGCGTCGACGGACACAAACGACTTAGATCGAAGCCTAGAGGGTAAGGTCAGCAAATTTGTCCACGATACCAAAAAATTAGTTTTTCTATAAGGGGAAGCGGATTGGGCGAGAGCCGAACAAGAATAAAAGTAAGTGTAAGGTTCTTCACGCCGGTCATAATAACGATAGGTCTCTGAACGAGTTCGGAGTAGAAAAACTGATGAAGGAAGTGGAGAGGGACCTTGGGATTATTATTGATGAAAAACTCAAGTTCTCCTCGCACGTGCAAGCGACGATAGCAAAATGCAATAGGACTCTAGGCTTCATCCATCGTTCCGTAGCCAGAAGGAGCTCGCGCGTTATTCAGTCGTTGCATGCGGCACTAACAAGACCCCTTTTGGAGTATTGGACTAGGCATTAGGAGGATTTGACAGTAAGAGATTAGGTTATGCTACAAAAAAATCAAAAACCAAAAAATATATAACTTTAGAGGAGTAGGCCAATCATACGGGGTGGGCCAAAAAAACCTTCCGTTATCTTTAACGCTTTACAGCGTAGTTTCTCGAGAGTTTGAAAACATTGCAATAATGTCTCTCTATAGAACATTTATCTAGCTTTCCACCGATGTCAAAAGATTTACGATCCAATCCGTCATTCCGATGCAGTTGCGCACAGTGTAACAGAGGTAGCACCGGAAAAGTGCACTTACCAGTACCCTATAGAAGATGTGCTCCGGATGACGTCCATTCCTTCGCTTATGGCGAGTAAGCAACCTCTTGCATGCACTACCTGCCACCGCAGCATAGCACCAACTTTTCCAGCGCCACCATTATACTCTTTATCTAACTGCGTGAAAGTCATGTCACGAATCTTTATTCTGTTGACATCACCGGAAAGCTGAATGAATGTTCTATACCGAGGCGCTTATTTGGGGGACCGGTGCTGTGGAGTGATAAAGATAACAGAAGTTTTTTTTTTGCCCACCCTGTATGTTACTGATGCTGGAATGCTCGGCCTTGACGCAGGATATCCTTATGGGCGCAATCGCCTCTTGATGTCCCTTCCTAAACTGGATACCTTGATACGTTGACCTTGAAATGTAAAGGTCCTCCAAGTCAAATATGGTAATAAGAAAGTCAAATTCGACAAGGGAAATCAAATGCGGCAAGGAAAATCAAATGTGACCAGGAAAATCAAAATGCGTCGCTGTTCTAGATGATGGATTTCTGTTGGACTTCAAGCAATAGCATGTTAGACGTAAAGAAATACGACAATACGACAGTAGTACCTCACGCCAGTGTCAGACGACCGCCACAAAGTCTCATTACTACTACGTACATCTCCGAATGTATTTGCAAGTGGCGCTGCTATTACGATTAATCATTTTCACATCGGGCTTGGCCATAATAATGAATTAACGCCAAAATTGAGGGAGGGAAGCCAGTTTCCGATCAGAAAGGAACGTTTTGGCACATATCCAATAAGAAACATAGCACCTAGTTTTTCAAGTCAAAATGGACATGAGAAAGTCAAATGCGGGATGGAAATTCGACCGTAACATTAGACCAACAGATTGCTTCAAGGGTCACAGGAAAGAAAGGGTGAAAGCTAACTCTTTCATCCTTTTGTGATTTGCATGAGGTAACTCCAGGCTGTGAGGAAAGAGCAGATTTTCGATCACGATGAAGCGATCGAGTTGACCAGGATTGCCTGTCCATCCTTTCGGAGTTGGAACATTGAGCCAGTACCATCTTCACTCTAGGGCAATGTAACCAATTATGCCTGCACGTACAACCACTTATCCTTGTGTATCTGGAATTGAGAGGTATCGTGGTAGAAACGGCCAAGCGATTGCTTTCATGACACGGGCTGCCACTTTGGACATTCTCCGTGTCGAATATCTTGATAGTCTAGCATCCAGCAGGCCTGTCTCTTTTGGTTTTCTTTAGGCTGCTTTTCATTCCCATCCAGGGTCGAATCGAGTTTGAATCTCCATGTGGCATTTCACTCTCATGCTTCATTATTGAGCTTAGAAAACCAATACTTGTTATCAATAGCTTTCATTCTTCACGATCCGACATCAAAGGTGGTCAATAGGATTAACTCCAATAGTGATGTGTTATCCAAGTCCATCCATGCATATGCATGAATGACTTTGCATTTGGAGCAGTGCGTGGTGGACATGAAACTCTATTGCAGTCGTCTGACAATAGCGTGAGATAGATCGCAATTGACTTTCCTTATGTGTAATATGCTTTTCTCAATATTCCAACATCCAGCACAGCCACGGATTTGAATTTCTCTTTGTCGCATTTTACTTTTTCTATTGAGATATTTGACTTAGAAACCTATAAATGCCTAAACTTCACGATAGCAGGAGGTGTCATGGGTTCCCTGCCGTTCGGTTGATGACTTCTGTAGCTGGAAGTGACATGCTATGCATTGAAACGGAGCCAGGGCACTCAGTCTCTCATCCCCTGGGCGGCTGCAAAGGAAACACGTGTATCCCGCATGCACGATGTCTTTTTTCTCTAAAGGACGAGAATGTCTCCCTGAAGCTCCGAAGACAGTAGTAGCCTCTCGAACAATCCCTGGACAATTTCGCATCGCTAACACATAGCAGGAATGGGACAATATCAAACTTAGAGCATGATTGGCACAATGGACATGTAAATCGTGCGAATATTTTTTATTATCCATTTCTGAACACCTTCGAATTCACTAGCCATTACACTAACGCCACCAAACTTCTATCCCCACAATTTCTCAAGATGTGGACAAGCAGATTTAATTACTTCGATCCAAGTTTCTGCTAACTCTGACTCGGTAAGATATTGGATTTTCGTGAAGCCTAGGAAATTCTCTCGGAAAAGTAATGGATTGGAGAGGCTTGTAGTTACGTGTCGCTGCACAATCGCACAAGCACAATCCTTATCACAGACATGACAGGTCTCATCAACTAGCGTTGAAAAACATGCTTCCTTATTCACCCAGTCATGGATCTTTCTGTTAGAATTTCATCGCACACAATCAAGACTTTGTTCTGGGTATCAGGGCTGCTGTATGTTATACCCTGCAGATTTCTCAAGTTGCTTCAGTAGAATGTTATCACTGGTTGAGCACGCAAACACAAAATTGTCCTGAAGTTCCCACATCGCAATCGTGAAGAGGTTCTTCCATCATGATATCCCCTGCGTCAGTTCTTCCTCTCCGTGCGATTTCCTGTCGTGCGCAAAAGATGACTGTTTCAATAATCGACACTAGTTTCTCCGTTTTCTGCGATTTCTCATCTCACTTTCCCACCTTTCCTTCTCTGCCATTTTCCCTGTCTTGAGATACTTTCGATTTATTTTTTGAAATAAGCAAGAAGTCT